GCAGAAATGCTGGTGTCCCCAACACAGGTCAGGTGGGCTGAAACTGCATGCTGGGGCCTGCCTTCTCCACTGGCCACCTCTCAGGCTGCAGCGTGCTCTTGTTTATACGGAACTGGGGTGAGCATCAGGCTTCTGGCAAGCTACCAGGGCAGCCCTCAGCCAGGCAAAGTCAGCGCCAACAAAACAAGCCCTTCTGAGCCCTTGCAGCTGTGGGAAAGGGCTTCTCTGTAATCCTCACATTGTGACAGTGCAGCTGAGCCGCTATGGCATTGCACGGTGCCTGCCAAAGCGTGCAGCTGACGAGAAAGGAGAGTTGAGCAGGGGCCAGGGTGGGAATCAGCACTGATGGAAAGGAGCCAAGCCAATCTCATAGACCCAAAGCGTGGCGAGGCTGAGGGGAAGTGGGCCGGGTCCCAGAGACAGGGTTCTGCTGATTCCTGGTAGACAAGACTTAATTACTTGTTGGCTGATTCTTTCATCGACAGCTGCGAAGCTTCCGGCATTAGTTAAGCACCAGTTTCCAGGAAGCCGGAGCGCTGACTGAGGCAGTGTGCAGAGAGGCTGTTTGTTATCCAGGGGGAGGAAGGGGGAATGCAGATGGGCTGAAGCCTGTCTCTTGTAGCATTCTTTCCACCGCAACTGGCTGCCTCCCCCAGAGCACATCGATGCCCAGGAGCCGGCACGCCCAGCGTGCTGCTTCGTCCCCTATTGGCCAGTGTGCCGTTTTCCTGTCTGAGGGGAAGGCAACATACATTGCAGGGAGGATGTTTACACTTGGTCCTGGGGTTTCCTGGGTTCCTAAGGCATCAAGCCAGGTGCCTGGGGCGATAGGAGTTTCAAACAGCCAGGTTTGCAGTGCTGCGGGCGGGACAGGGCCCAGGGAGACGTCTGGGAAACGCAAGCTGAAGAGCGAGCTCAGCACCAGTAGTCAAGTCACCCCTCAACCTTCGGTTTGTCAAGCTAAATTGATTGAGCTCCTTGACGCGACATGATTAGAAAACCTGCCTTGTAGTGGTAATCGTTCTCCTGATTCTTCTCTGAGCCCTCTCCAGTTTATTAGCATCCTTCTTGAAGCATGGGCATCACGCCTGGACACAGTATTCCAGCAGCAGTCGCACCAGTGCCCAATACAGAGGTTGTGGGGTGGGAGGTGGCTGTGGACCAGCAGCCCCCATTAATGGAACAATATGAAGGGCCTGGTCCCCTTGAAGCCATGGCAGAACCGCCCCTGATTTCAGTGGGAGCAAGTTTGGGCCTTCCCAGGGAGAGAGACCCCAGGGATTGTGGGATGGGCTTTGCCAGGGTTCTGAATGGGGTCCTGGGGAGAGCCAGGCCACTCACAGTGGAGAAGAGACATATAAGGGCACAGTGGCTTGGATGATGCTGGTCAGACTGGCAAGCGTGTTGCCATCTCTACCCAGGCCCACTCTCGGCCACTGAGGGCAGAAGGCATTTTGATTTCTCCTGCCCAGGCAGCTGATCATTCTTGCCTTTGTTCCTTGCTCAGGGAAGTGTGACTTTTCTCTGCAAGATTTTGGGAGCCATGCCAGGGTCATGTAACCCAGGCCTAGGCACAGGGGAGGGATTGCTGGGGGAGCAGGGTGGCCAATAGGCGCACAGTTCCAGCAGTCTTTGCCCCCAAGGGAGCCGCTCCACAGCTGGGAAAGGAGGGAGGGCGAATTTTTTCACACCCAGCCTGCTGCAGAGATCACAAGCGTGTGCTCCATCTCTGTATTAATGGGGCAGATCCTCCGCTGGTGCGAAGCGGCCTATTGACCGACCTCGAGTGAAGTCAATCGACGCCAGCGAAGGACCTGGCCTACCATTGCCAAAGCGCTGTGCTGTGGGAATGGAAAGCGTGGTGATTATGCACCTGTTCTGTCTCACAAAAAGCTTTCAGGGGTTGCAATTTTCAGGCCATTGTTACTAAGAAGTTAGGAGATAATAGAGGCCCCATTTTCTGGGAATAACCTGGTATTTTTCTCTTCGGCTGCACAAGGAGAGAAGCATTCCGGGCTCGGTCTGGGCATTACGATGCAAAGCCCGAGGTGACCGCAGGGCTGTGGCTGGGCTCCGACGCACCCTCTGCGTTACAGCAGGGGTGTCAGGATTGTACTCTCCAGAAATCACAGCAAGGGAGGGTGCATGAGCAAAACTGGAGCCAAGCCCAGAACCGACTGGTGGAAACCAGCTTTTTCCCATTGTTTCTCAGGACGGGGCAGGTGGGGAAGAGACACCTGTGAGCAGGTCACTCTGTGCTCCTCACGGTCAAGGAGTTCCAGGTCTGGCCCTGGGAGAGAGAGCTCCAGGCCTGGCACGTAGCCAAGCACCTGTTAAAACAGCTGGGTATGGTGAGAGCTGTGTCAGCAGCAGCTCACGCACACGCCTCTAGCTGCAACTTCCACAGCATCGTTTAAAGCAAACAAGGAGACTCCAACACAGAAAAAGGGGTGGGGGGAGGGAGCGGATGCTTCTTTGAAGCCTCTGAAATCCAGAGGGAATGAAGCAAGGAAACTCAGCGCCACCGTGAAAGACGCAGGCAGGCACTGCGGGCGAGAGAAGGAGACTCACGCAGACGGGGAAGAGCCGTAGGCTGGGAGGGACTGAGGGAGGATGGCTTAAGTGAATTCAGCCAGCAGCAGCCCTGGCTGGAGAGTCAATTCTGGGAAGATAATGTGTCTGCTTGCTAAGGCCTCCTCTGGGTCCTGGCTTGTTGCTGGGGCGAGACAGAAGGTACCTGCTCCAGTCAGAGTGAGATCCGTGACTTATTGCTGCAGTTTGCACCGAGGGAGTCACTGGGGTTGTAACGGATGTCTGATGCACGACTCTGTGCAAGAGGGGAAGGGGAAGCCTGGCCCGTCCGAGCTCCTCACAGAATATCCAGTTCTTAAATTATACCCTCTTCCTCTGCCCTCACTGACCCCCATGTTACACCACTGGAGCCACTCACAATTTACACCAGAGAATCAAGCCCCATCAATCATGTTATCACTTCTGTCCAGCCCAGTGTACATGGTGCCTCTCCCCATCCAACCCATTGAGCCTGGGAACTGCGCTCTTCCCATGCGACCCGATAATCCAGCACGTCCAAGAGATATTTCCCTCCGGTTTGGCCCCGGTGCATCCCCCGCCCCGACAGCTCAGTGTGCCTGGCTCTAGCCTGCGTCTGATGATCAGTTCGGGCAAACATTTAAATCTGCCACTCAGCCAAATGCCCAGCATTGCTGTAGGACGTATAGAACATCAATAAATGCCTCATCCTCCTCTGTGTTTGAGATCTTACACAGATCAGTTCCTCTGCGTGGGAAGAGCATTTTCCTACCATTGCCAGTGTTATACGGCATTGTCAGTGACGGACTAAACAACTGTGATTCTGTCAGGAGAGCTGTAAAACCAGGGTTGCACCCACTTGGGGGGGGAGGGGGGATTCAATCTCACCTGGCAGTTTTCAGCAGAGTAGGAGGTTTACCCCAGGGACCTGGCCAAACCCCAATGCGGAGGATTACGCACTGCCCATCTGAATTCCTACCATTAGTTCAATGGCAGCTGCATTTCCATAAAAGGGCCCTGCAATTTGTGCTCCTGATTCTTCATGGCCTGGTACCTCGTAGTCATTGATCCTGTACGAAGCGGGTGTCACATACCCGCACTGGGGCAAGCAAGCAGAGCGCTGTGATCTGGTAGGTGTGACACCCTCTTTGCACAAGTGCAAATGAGGCCACAAGTCACTGTCAGGCCACGGAGTACTGGGTCTCTGGGTGTGGGTGTGTGTGTGTATAATCTATGGGAGTAGACACACAGTCAGCCCTCATCCATTCCCTCCGCAAACCTACTGCACAACCAAGGGAGTGGCACAGCATGTAACCAAGGCCACACAATATAGTGCGTAAGGCACTTTGGGATCTTTCAGGCTGAGCGGCGCCACTTGAATGTAAGAGGATTATTATTACTGAGTCAGCACAGCAGGCGTTTGACATTTCAGATCACAGCTTTCCGTACTAGGCCTTAGTGGAGGAGAGTTTCCCAGGGAAGTGCACAGTCATTTAAAACTAGACCAGCCAAACACGAGTAAGTGTCGAGTAGGGACTAATTCTTCATGGGCCGGGAGACGGATGGGGCGTCCTGGCAGGCCTTTTCCTGCTCATATTTCTGTGATGCATCAGAGTATCCCAGAGTCCCGTGTGCCCTTTGGGTGTTACGTAGCCATTAATGCACATTTATATACATCTGCTCAGGGGGATTGTTATAGTCTGAAGCACATGGGATAACAGCATGGACTATGGAGCAGGGCTATAGAGCTGGTGTGACAGCCTAAGGATTACTGCTAGCTCCAAGAACACTGTGGCAGTCCTGCCTCCTGCGGGTTGCATTTCTCTGCATCCCCATTGCGTCCTCTGAACAGCTTTGCAATGAGGTGGGCATGGGCTCTGAGAACAGGCTTGCAGAGGGGCGGCGCTAGAAATGGTTTGCTTATTCTTAGGCCCCCAATTCAGCAAGGTGCCTATGAAGCATGCAAATAGTTCCGTTGACTTCAGCGGGGCTACTCGTGTGCTCCAAGTTAGATTCATCGGGGCCCTGCAGTGGGGAAATTGCTCCACAGCAGGTGACTCCAAGGACAGCCCTGAGGCTTGGGAGCCCTTTGCACTTGATTAGGGACCCAGCAAACCCACAGACGCAGAGCAGTGCAGACCTGTCCATTTGTTAAGGGTTGTCGCCACGGTTATGTCTAATGTGCTTTTGTAAAGCAGAATCCGAGATGCAAGTCACTTTAGAACCTGATTATTGGACATCCTCTCCCCCAGCCAGAACCCTCCCCATCATCCCCACGGAGCTGTGTGCAGTGGCCCAGCAAGCCTGTGGCTAGGACTGGCCAAGAGGAAATGCATGAGAGCAAGATATTTAGTAAGGGAAGTTCTGTCCAAGGCAATGTTACTTGGGTTCAATTTCCAAGCTCCCTCCCCTCCCTGTGTCCATATTTCTAACGAGCTCCCTCTCCTTAGCCTGAAGACCAGCCTGCAGAAGAAGCTGAGCCAGGACTCCATGGATTTATCAGGGATTCCCCTGACCATGCGGGATGTCCACCGCATGGCCTATTACCTACAGAACAACGGGAACAACCTCACTGCGGTGGACCTGAGCTTTACCGAGATGACCGACGACATGGTGCGCCTGCTCCTGCCCTTCTTCTGGGCGCTGCCCAATCTCACTCACCTTTCCCTCAACGGCAACCGGCTGACCCGAGCCACCACGAAGGAGCTGACGGACACCATGAAGGACATGAACAAGTTCCCGTGCTTGGCCTGGATAGACCTCGGCAACAATGTGGACGTCTCCTCCATGCCACAGCCTTTGCTGGTGGGCCTGCGCAAGCGCCTCAGCCAGCAGACAACGCTGCCCACCATCTACGAGTCCCTCGACTGCGACGCCGAGCTGTCCGGTGGACACGAGGCCAGCTGCCAGGAGGAGGAGGGGTGTGTGGCTGAAGACAAGGACACCCCATGTGACTTCCCCCAACAGTGCTGCGAAAGGTGATTCAGCAGCAGACCTTAGCTGTCGGACTGATGCCGTGGCAAGGAGAGCTCGGAGTACAAACGCAATGCAGAAGGCCAGCTTCACCGGCTTCCTTTGGCACTTCTCTTGCCTTCACTGACATCCCAGACTTGCCGTGTTCTCAGTGAAAGCCTGCCTCTCCCCCGCCCCCCACTGCCAAACCTATCACCCCCATTCCAAACAGGAAGCAGATACTCACAGCGAACCTGGCCTCGTCAGAGCAGGATCTCATTGGAAGATGGGAACTGAGCTGTAGGACTCGGCATATTCCCCAGAGGCTATTGAGGGGCGTGGTGGGGGAGGAAAAACCTAAACAAAAAGCAACATCTCCTCCTAGGTTATTTCCTTTCTTCCTTTTCTTCCTTGTCCTGTCATTGTTGGGGCCTGAGACCTGAAGTTGTGAGGTGGGAGCTGCCCCAAGGGTCGAGGGTCTGTCGGGCTTTGTTGAATGCATCAGAGACTGGAGTCAGAGCCCAGCAGAGCGTGTCTTCCCCTTGAGCCTGGCTCAATATGTTTTTTTCATTGTGTGATTTGTATTAATGTCCAAACAAAGGGAATTGCAATCAGAGGCCCAACAGAGTGTGCAGGCCGGGGAGGACACGTGACATGGAATTGCAGTGTCAGGATATTTAGGGGCAGGGTATGTGTGTGCATTGGTGGAAGTGTGGTGGGGGTGTTGATTGGGAGGGGCGGGGGACAAGGGGAGGGAATAGCCATTCCTTGTGGATTAACATGATCAGTTTTACAAACTCTGCTTTGTACAAAACCAACAAATCAAAACTAAAAGACAGGAGTGGGGGGAGGGGAGAAGCTCACGGAAAAGTCCATTATGGTGGGGGCTAGGGGGCGAGATGTGGCAAAGCCGCTTGGCCCGGCCCAAACTGCAGCAGAACTTTGGGTTGCTCCTTGTTAGACATGCCGTGCATCTGACCATCTGTAGCCAGGGTTCCTAATATTATAGATATGATGGGAACGGTCGAGTCACCATTACTAACACCATCCTGGAAACCCAACTAGCGATGCAAGATTCCCAGTGTTTTCCACGTTGCCATGCTGTATGTGAACACAATAAATGGTTCTCTTGGACATGAAAGTAAAGCACGAACGCCACGTGTGAGCATCTGGGTTATTTGTGCCTCTAGCTAGCAGTGCGCTGGCTGCAAAATATAGCCCGCTGGTCCTGGCACAATACCCAGGCAGCCCAGGAGAGGCCCTGGTGGGCACTGCTTACATGAACAGCACCAGTGCAATTCTCTTAGCACACTGCAGCACTTTGGTTCATACTATGGGAGAACCCAGGTGCCCTAATCAGGACTAGGGCCCCATTGTGCAAGATGCCAGTCTCTTGTCTATGGTTCAGACAACACCACCTCTGTTAACATCATGGAACTAATCTACAAGCTCATCTTTCATAGACCTTGAATGGCCTTTCAGCTTGTGTATGCCAGTTTACTTTAACTCAGCATCATTTGTGGGTCAACCAATTTTCTCATAAACCTCAAAAGTAGTCATAGGCATCCAAGTGTAGGGACTTAATGCCCATCACCCAGAAGGGTAACCAGAATCTAATGATCTCTTGGATTTTGTACCTATGTCCTTAAAGCAGGCTAAGGGGAGTCTATCAGGGCTGTTGATACCAGCTCGTTTGGCTGCCTGCATAGAATCAGCATTCTGGACCACATCAATTATCCACTTATTCCAATTCCTCTCTCCCAGAAGTGGCCACTTAAAGTTCCAGGAGAAGGTGCGTAAAATCCTCTAATGCACCTCACCGTGCAATGCTGTGCCAGAGGGGAAATGTCCTCCTGATCCTAATTTGGTCTTATATTATGAACCAGGAGATCCATGGCGGCAGCGGCAGGCCCAGTACTTCTAGATACTCACACCTCAGTATGGGATTTGTCAGAGCGATGTTCGCTCATAGACATGCCCTTGGTTGCTCAGTCAGAGAAATCTGGTGTCTGCCTGTGGCAATCTGGCTGGCCAGCCTGCATACAGGTGAGAGCAAAATAGAGAGGGAGCTAATGGCCCAGTAAAGATAAAGGCCAAATCTTTAGGGGGCTCTGGGGCCCACAAGCTGCTCAGACCCACTTCCTTCTTGTGGGCAGGCTACATTTTATTCCAAACCCATCCACCAACACCAACACCCATCCAGTGCCACATCACAGCTCTAACCTCTACTTCTTTCAGCTCCTCTTTGCTAGGGCCCGCAGAGGAAAGGCACTTGGGCAGGCACAGCTCCTGTTCACTCTTCATTCCAGCTCACCTAGCCCTGTCCTCTTCCTCTGTAACACCTCCCTCCAGGCAGGCTGGTCAGTTGAGGGCTAATTAGTTCCTTACCTCCCCAGCCTCTCCCGATTAGCTAATTATTCCATCAGCCATTAGGGGGAACTAATGGAGGCAACAGTGATCTGAGTGCTGGCCCAGCTGTCAGATCTCTGCACTCTGTCACACCCACGCAGAGGGTGACTCACTCACAGCAGAGGCTGGTGTCTTCTGGAAGGTAAGCAGACAGACAGACTCCACCCAGGTTATCCCTTGGCTATGTAACCCAGAGGCACCCCCTGTGGGATGGAGCACACTGGGCAAATGCCTGAGCTCTGTTATGCCAGTGTAGCCTCATCCACTGACACCAGCAGAGTCCCTCTGGATTTACAACGCTGCGGCAGGCTGAGAGCATAAGTACCAACCAGGTCATGAGGAGAGGAGAGAGCATGCCCCTCAAAAACACCTCCATGAGCCCTAGGAATGGGGAGCAGTGCAAAGCGAGGTAAAGACGTGCTCAGAGCTGGAGGGGACAGAGGAGCTTACAGGAGCAGGATACCAAAGTAACAAAGTTGCAAATAAGATTTTAGCAACCTACCAAATTGCGTTTGGGTTCAGGCCCAGGTGAAAGCCGGCTCTTCTTGGATCCGGAGCAGTTGGCCCATCCCTGCTGAGCCGAAATGGCGAATCCCGTCCTGAGGATGCCCTCCCTTTTGCACCTTCCCCCTAGGTCCAAGCTATACAATTTTCAGTTTAGAAAGCTGTAGGTGCTCTCACATTGTCTAGGGTGTCAGAGCCTTGGCATAGGCCCATGCTATAAAGCACCATACACACCTGTGGCTCTGTAGAAATAATGAACTATTTCCAAGAGGTAAGAACGCAGCGAGCAGCTGGAAGCACCAGTTGTACAATTTATTTTTATACAATGTACTTCAGAATGGAACCTGTCCAGGTATTTTTCCTACATTAAAAACATTATTTATTTATATTCCTTCTTCCCAGCAAGTAGTTGGGAGGTATCTGTTTTTCTCCCCGGGCGGGCGTGCTGGTTTCTTATTGTGGGGTTGCTTCTAAAGGCGCCAATTCTACGTCCATTTGTTTCTTTGTATAATAAACAAGGGAGAAAGAAACTAATTGTTTTTGGATGCGGCCTCCCTTCCTGCTCCAGTCAATCACACACATTTAACAGATATAAGAAGGGAAGTCTAGTCTGACTCTCACAGTCTGGACTGCGTCCTCTTGTCATTGCAATATACTGGTGGCAGCACAGCCATCGATGGCAGCTGCTTGGGAGCCCGGCAATCTGAGCTCTGTCTAGGCAGTAAGGGATGATTCTTAACAGACAAATGGAATTTGTTTTTCTCTGGGACGAAACCAAATATTTGCTCCTTGGCAGAGAACGGATAGGCCAGGCTGATGCTGCATGGAGCTAGGTAGCTATTAAAAATACACTCCGTGCTTTATTAGCCAGGCCGGCTCTTTGGAAAATCAGAAATGCATCAAACATCTTGACTGAAGTGTGAGTCACTGAGGGATATTTTAGTGAACTATTTTGTTCTCCTTCGGGAAACTCAGAAAGGGAAACTTGCAACAAGAGAGACTTAAGTTAGATATTAGGAGACACTTTCTAATTCTAAGGCTAGCTAAGAGCTTGACCAGGTTACCTAGGGAGGTCGTGCATTCCCCAGCATTTGGAGGTTTTTAAGAAGAGGCTAGACAAACACCTGTCAGGGATGGTCTAGGTATGTTTGGTCCTCAGCACACAGTCTGGACTAGATGATCTCTCCCAGACCCTTTTAGACCTACATTTCCATGAGTCTGTTAACTGAGATCAGAATCTGATCCAGTTTATGCTTGTGCAAATCCTCACTATGGCATTGTATGTTCACATGACACCCAGCTTTTGTATGTGTCATAGGGCTGGTGGAGAAAAAGTGCCTTGTGGCCCACAGAGAGGGAAGAGGCCTATTGCAGCCAGTAATCCACCCAGTCACTTCTCTGTTTAGACAGCATTGTTTCTTCCAATCCCTTTTTAATGCTTTGCCCATGCCTAGTTTCAGTGTCCTGCTGTGAACTAAATAGGGGTGTGGATAGTGTAGTGATGGGAGGCATATGAGACCCTAGGTAGATTGAAACCGCATGGTCCAAATTCATGCCTGGTGTAACTCCACTAAAGGCCATGGAGTCACACACAGATGGGAGGGGCAGGGAAGAGACAAACCAGCTTCATCTCCCTTTCTGGTCCAACCAATCAGCTTCCTGGCAGGAATATAGGGTTAGCGTGGCTCCCACTTCCTTGCCATGCATGATTGTTCTCTCTGAAACCCCACCTGTTTTTACAGAGGCCAGTGCCAGTTTCCTGCCGTTTCTGAAGCAATTCTAGTTCTACACTTCACCATCCCTTCCATTTTGGAAAGGGCAGTGATGCCTTTTGTCCTACACCAGTTGCCCCCTTTTTGTGCATTGCAGTGGCTGGAGATTCAGCCCAAAGGCTGTCAAGAATTCACAGACGACATCACAGCACATACCAGGCCTAAAGAGGGGAGGGGATAACGGGAGTGGAGGAGAGCACATCTGAGTACTTAGCGGAGTTCAGCTGGGAACTGGACTGCTTCTGCTTCTTGAAGACAGATGATACCATCACACCCACCAAAACATGGACTTTGTCTGGGCGGCTTCCATTCCAAGCTCTGCCTTAGACCTGCTATGTCATCTAGGGCAAGTCACTTTCCCTCTCTGTGCCCCCGTTCCCTTTCCACCATTATCCTGCCTATGTAGACTATATTCCCTTTGGGGCAGGGTCTGTCTCATGCTATATGTCTGTGCAATGCCTAACACAACGGGATTCTGATCTCAGGAAGGCCCTCTTGGCTCTACCGTAATACAAATAAAAATAATTGGTCCATGGCCCTCATCACTAGTAACACACAGTTCATAGTCTGTGGCACACTTTCTGTGTAATAGATATTTATAGCCACAATACAAAAAATATTACCAAGGGACAAAATGTAGCCAATTGTGAAATAGAATGACATGATTTAAATAGATTCCACTGACTGTAAACGAGGGCTGTGAGCACAGTCTAGAATTAGTATATGGTTTTCCACAGGTTTTATAAAGTCCCAGAGAGACAGCAATTGGGCTGAAGTAAAGCATAGTTACCTACCCTGTGGTTCTTCAAGATGGTGCAGTCCAGGCAGATCCCAGCACATGCCCTCCATTCCCACTTCTCAGAGCCCTTAGCTACCACAGACATCAAATTGCAAAGGAATTGAGGGTATGTCTACGCTACAGCAGCAAAGCTGAGTCCTACATCCATGGAAGGGGGTTTTATGACACTGTAGTTAATCCACCTCTCCAAAAGGCGGTAGCTAGGTTGACAGAAGAATTCTTCCCTCAACCTAGCTGCATCTACAGTGGGGCTTAGGTTTACCTAACTATCCTGCACAGAGTGTGAAATTTCTCACAACCATGAGTGAGGTAGCTAGGTGGCTGGTCTAATTTTTAGGTGTAGACTAGGCCTCAGGGAGGGGTGTAACTGCTCCATCCTTTATGCCCTTGTCTAGGAGCCTCAAGAGGCAAAGGGCAAACGTGTGGCCCCAACTGGGCATTGCTATTCAAAAGTCTCTGGTCTTGCACATCTAGTGTGGAATCCACACTGACACATACCCCAAGAAGAACATAAGATCTGATCTTCCCCTGGTATTTCAGTCCTCTATAATTGATGCTGTGAATGATCGGTTTGCCTGAGGCAGAATACATTCCAAAGAGACATCACAGTTTAAAGGATAATTGCCAAGGAATTGTTCAGGGTTTGGAAGGGGGAACCTTTGTGAGCCC